AGAGTCACAGAGAGAGGGGAGGGAAACTCATCACAGAGTCATAGAGAGAGGGGAGGGAAACTCATCACAGAGTCAGAGAGAGAGGGGAGGGAAACTCATCACAGAGTCAGAGAGAGAGGGGAGGGAAATTCATCACAGAGTCACAGAGAGAGAGGAGGGAAACTCATCACAGATAAACAGAGCTGGTGATTTGTACTTGTCAGCATTGGCTCCAGCCATGATGCGCAGCACAGGCAACAGATCCATAGCGTAGCGACACATGGGTCCCGTAGTGAGGAAGTCCTCCTGCAGGCCAGACCTAGGGGGGTACTGTCCCTCATTTGACACCACTCCTGGGTAAATATACCCAAATACACACACACACACACACACACACACACACACACACACGCACGCACAGGTTTGTAATTATATCTTTATGGGGACTCTCCATTTATTTTTATGGGGAAAACTCTAATCCCAACATGACGACCTTAACCCTACCCAGCCCTAACCTTAGCCATAGGTAACCAAGCAAAATACAAGACTTTTGGCATTTTCAGTTTTTGATTGCATCTTTGTGGGGACCAGAAAATGGCCCCCACAATGTCACAATAACAGGTTTTTATTACATTGTGGGGAACACCTGGTTCCCGCAATGTAATATAAACCTAAAATACACACACACACACACACACACACCTGAGGTAGGCTTGTGGCCAAAAATGCCATTAAAGAAGGCGGGAATGCGGATGCTGCCACCGATGTCAGAGCCCACGCCAATGATGGAGCCCCCACTGGCCAGAATGCTGCCCTCTCCACCTGCGAAGAGATTGCCAGGACACCGGAGGGTCCCTGAAGTTTCACTACAGCCATAAACTCAGCTGGAGTTTCCAGATACTGTAACACTGTATGTATATGTATGTGTATATATGTATGTATATAGTACAGTGTATGTATATATGCTATATTGTATAATATACTGTATGTATATATTGTGCTCCTGCAGTTCCCTGAGCATTGACCGGTGAGACCCACCAGAACTTCCCCCAGGGATCCTGCTAGTGTCATAGGGGTTGCTGGTAACACCATACAGTCGATTGTAGGACTCTAACCACATGCAGAGCTCGCTGCAGTTGGTCACAGCCAGAGGAATGGCCCCAGCCCTCTTTAACTGGGCCAAGGAGTTGGCGTCTCGCTCGGAAACGACATCCCTGCGGGAAATCAGTCCCGTGGAGTTGGGCATACCTGTGGAACAGGGGAACAAGGTCAAAACAGGAAGGGGGTTGGCAGAAAGGCACGGAGAGACAGGTAACAAAGAGAGAGGAGAAGCCCCTCCGTGCAGAACCCCAGCAGTGAGCAGAAAAAGAGAGACACGCTCAACATGCACAGAATAGCACAAGGAGGACAGAAACCAAACAGAGCAGCAACGTTCATGGTAAGGCACGGCAGACTGGCACCTCGGAGAGCAAAAGCCTCTTTGGCAGTGAAAGGAACGCCCAAGAAGGGAAGCCGGGCCTCTAGGTCCTGCTCCTCAGATTTCTCCTCGTCCAGAAATGTATCTACCTGGGCAGCCTCCTGAAGAGCTTCTGAGAACCTGTGAGACAGGAAGAGTGAGGGGACAGGGGAGAAGGTGAAAGAGTAAGTGGAAGGAGTGAAACAAGAACTCACATAGTCCCCGGAGAGATAAGGCACGCAACACACTGACATGGATCCATAACATACACACCTGCACATGCTCTCTCTAAATAAATTACCTATGCTTGGCAACTCCATTGATGATGGGGTTGATCTCCTGGATCCGGTCAATGTAGGCCTGCACCACCTCCACACTAGTCACCTGTGGATTGATATGGTCATGTCATGAGTTAAAAGCTAAACAAGTTATTAAAGATGAGTGTTAGCTGCAATATCTTCATATTTTTACACGAAGCTTCCTGCCTTAACACTGTAGCAATGCCACCCCCCCCCCCTAAATCACATGCCTATGTTAAGATTGTTTGGAATATGGTGTGTACATAAGGCTAACTACCTACAAAACATACATTTACAGTAATTAAAAGTTTTTGAAGGATATGGTGTGGTTAAACTATTTTTTTTTTTTATCAGCTTTTAAATCCAGCTGAAATTCTCTGTTTAAAATGTGATATCTGCAGATCTATGTTCTAGTTATTGCACATGTAATTTAAAGATACTCCAACATGCTTTGCAGCGCAGTTAAGCAGTGTTTCGATGTGGTTTTGAAGAATGCTTGCTCAGCTAGCATGAAGTAGCTGAAGCACGAAGCTAGCCGGGAGAGAGATCCGTTTTACTCCTGTGTTTCAGGCTCGAAATGTGAGCTTTAGGGATGTTGCATACTTTTCTAAAGTCTTGTTTCCCTGATGATGTAGCTCAGTGGGACAGCGCATGGTTTACAAAGGCATCATCCCAACTATGACCTCTAGGGGGGAGGGGGGGGGCAGTGTGTGGCTCAGCTGGTTACTTGTCACTGTTTCTTTGGCTGGTTCGAATCCCGTACACTTAATAAATACGTTTTTCTACTAGCGACTTATTAATTTAATGTTGTTGCCGATTTCGCCGAACTATTAAAAAGTGCAGTGGGGTGGCTTAACTAATAATTTTGCGGTCAAGTAGTTGAATTTCGTGCCCATAACATTTCAACCAAGATAGGCCACAGACCAGCAGGAAGCTTATTTTCTTGTCTGTCTTTCATATCACGATCTAGATAAGCAACTATTTCCAATCAACATTTAGGCTGCATGTGACGCAGCTTATACTTCCATCCAAATGCATAGTGTATGCTAGCTCTCCATCCATCCGTTTAAAATCACGTGTCATATTCAGGGTCCAGAGCCTATCCGGAGACTACAGGCACAAGGCAGGGAACCACCCAGAATGGGGAACCAACGGGGGGGGCGGAATACCCCCTGAAAAGCTCATATACAACATGCATACTCCCCACACTTGGACAGAGGTGGGAGGTGACAGTACTAGCCACTGCACCAGCACAACTAAACCAGCCAAAGTATACTGCCTCCTCGTAGCATAGATCACTTTCGTTTTGGGGACACAAACAGCCAGTGTTCTATCTACCAATGCTACTTATCGAGACGTGCTATCGAGCCTTTCTGCGCATGTGCAGTTCCACCGTCTTGGAATTAGGGTTAGGTTTTAGGGGTTAGCGTAGGGGTTTTAGGGTTTTTTGGGGGGGATTAGGGTTAGGGCTAGGGCTATCGATTAGCACTACAACTCGACAAAGTAGCTCAACTCGTCAGAACACCGGTCCCCAAATGCCAAACGCAAAACATTGTGGAAATCCTCGAACGCAAAACAGGTAATAAAATGTCAGTAAGCACACAAAATACGAATTAAAAACGCAAAATTTAGAAAAAGTTACCAATTAGAAAACGCAAAACCTAGAGAAAACAATTGTGTATTATTAATGTTTATTGTTTTTCTATTTTTGGTGCTTCCCGGCTACCGTAGCATGGATGGCGCAGATGACATTGCGGAAGGGGCTGGTAGCTGCGGACTCACGGACTGACCTCCCGGCGGCGGATCTTCCGCGCCAGCTGCACACCAGATAGCAATAGCAACGGGTTGGTGATCGGCGGCAATCTGACCGACGTCCCGCTTCTTCGGGATGTAAGTGACCCATGGATAGCAGTCAGAACCGCCACGGCGATTCTCAGCAACCGAGCTAAAACGCGCTCCAAACACCGTAGCGCCATATTTGCGTCACGTGGTCCCTGGAATAGCGGCGTACTCTGGGCAGAAAAGGTTATAGAAAGCGGCCAGGATATCTTACTGGGGCTCGAGGTTTACCGATGCGGTTGTCAGCTGGTAAAAATGTTTACCTTTAGATCCAGAGACACCGCTATTGCATAAATTGCTATTGCACTTACTGTTACTCTTCGTTGAATGAGTCCACGTTATTTTAACTGCTTCTGTCTTACATCCGCGTTTGAATATGTTATGTTATGTCTTGCGCATTAATATTCTGTTAATTACAATTTCTTGCTCTATGACCGACGAGATTGAAATTTCATCTGCGTGACCCATGGATCACATAGCTGAAGAGGAAAATAAACATTTTGACTTTGACAACTACAACAAGCTTTTTTTTCTGACTTTTATGTATCTGATAGTGAACAAAAATGTAACCAGTGTAACAAAGTAGTCTGAAGACAATTTGATTTATAATTTGATTTTCTGTATTTTAATTCACAATGATATATTTTGGCGGTTTTATAATAAAATGCACAGTATATCACATTAATATTGTATTGCTGAAAAGTACTTCATAAACCATGTATGCATCTTACAAGTCAGCTGCTTTCCGGGGATTTTCCACTTATTTTGTCTCTTTCTTATGTGCATAAACCTACCGAACAGTGTAGTGTAAGTAAAGTATAACATATTAAACTGCCGTTTACATTCAGTGGCCAGTTTTTAGCGACACCTGCTGGTTATTGCAAACAGCAAATGTTGACTGACGCTGAATACATACACGTGAACAGGGTCAACAGTTTCATTCATGGTTTGGCTAAGCCTCAGAAAAGTTAAATCACCTGATTTTCGATCTGGCGTGGCAGAAAGAGCCTTGGTACTGTGTGAGGTCAGAAGAGAATGGTCAGACATCACAGCTAACAGGCCACAAGTGCCTCTGAACACACAGAAGAAGAAATTTGGAAGGCAAAAGGTACCAACTGGGCATACCTAATAAAGCAGCCACTGAATATATGTTCAAAGTTGTATCAATTTGACATGTACATAGTACTATTCTACCTTCTGACTATCCTTAAGCTGTCATAAATATATCTTAGCTGTGTGTGACATCACTACAAATCCACTGTGAATTGACCAGCAGGCATGGGCTGTGAGAATATCAGCATAATTCCTTTTTTATTTATTAATCATGAACATGCTGTGTCAGTCCAGCAGTGTGATTGGGGTAACGATTAGTGGGGCGTCGTTTTTGCTCGACTTGTTAGTGCAGGGGCTGAAGAATGGGTAGATGCTGTCAGAGAAAGTGTCAATGAACGTGTAGATGTGAGACTTGATATCTGCGTTGTAGAAAGAGATCTGCCCCACATCATAGTCCACGAAGACACCAATCTTGTGAGGCTTAGTGCTGAGGCCCAAATTGGTGGGGGGCTCCGTCCGGAAGGCATAATCCTGCCTGTCCCTCAGGCTCAGGAACCAGTAGCCCTGGCTGGGGCTCACCGTGATCTTGCCTTTGCGGTTGCTGGAGCAGCTGGCCACTCCCACGTCCCAGTCTGTCTTCAGACCCACCTCCACCTCCCAGTAGTGGCGGCCAGCAGAAAAGCCTTGGTGAGCCAGCACACAGACCACGCGATCGAAGCGCTGTTTCATGTCGGGCACCAGCTGGTGTCGGTCGCCACACCGCACCCGCTTGCCATCTTCTGAGAGGATGAGCCGAGGGTGGGCGGTGTTGGGGTCCAGTGTGACATCAACTGGGGGCAGGGGGTGGGAGCAGGGATAAGATGTCAGAGCAAAGGGCCCAACTGTTATGCCGTAGGAGAAAAGGAAATCTTACAGCTGACAGGTAACATAGAAAGTAGAGGTTCTTATTCTGAAAACATTCTTAGTAACTAAAACACAAAGATTCTAATATAATGTGCATAAAGTACTAATGGGCAAATGAAGCTTCATGAACCATTTGTTATATTTTTTGACCCCACTAGATGGTGCTCTTGCTTTTCATTGGGGCATGCTTTGAGCCCTTTTATGAACAGAAAACACAGTGGTACCTTGGAATACTCGCTTAATTTATTCAAGAAGGCTGGTCAAGTTGCGATTTGAGATCCAAGTCGAATTTCCCCATAAAAAATAATGTAAATAAATTGAATCTGTTCCAAACCCCCAAATGATTGTCTATTTAAATGTATCTACCTAACTAAAGATAAAAACCATTAACAATCAATATTAAGGTTATACAGACATGAAAAGCATGCACACAAAAGCAGTAAACATTAAATGAATGACAATCCCATACTCTGAAGCGAGAGCAGAAAAATGTGCACCATCTTCAAGTATCGCTAAAATTTCCTTTTTAAGCTCAACAGTTACTCTCACTACTTTCCTCTTTGGTTTGGCTGGTATCACTGCTCACTTTCTTAGGGGCCAAGATTACTATATCACTAAATGTACTGTAGATAAAGAACAAAAAACCTTCCCACCGAAAACAGGAACACAGCTTTCGCACGTCGAACCTGGTCGGGAGGTACCGTGAGACTAAGAGTAATTTATATGCATCAGCATCCCTGTAGGTCCGTCTGCTTTTGCGTGTCCATCTGTACAAGTTTTAGCACGTCTGTTTTGTTGTGTCATGTTCCGAGTTTTCAGTTGAGTTGTGGTTAGATTTTTCTTGACCGACCTATTTGAGGTCTGAATTGGTAGAGTTAGACGCATCTTGACCCATACAGGTTTTAGCAGGAATGGTTGAGTTCCAAGATTTTGGTTGAGGTACAAGTCAAAATAAATTCGACAGACCAGTTCGACATCCGAGTTGGTCGAGTTAAGAGGCGTTCAAGTTCCAAGGTTCTACTGTATAGCAAATGGTTCATGAAACTTCATTTGCCCATCACTAGCATGAAGATCAAGCACAAGGCTCTTCAAATCTGCACCTCAATTCCAAATCCAGGCTTTGTTTTCAGTTCTCCCAGGTAGTTAGTTTAATAATTACTGATTATGATTGGGCACAGAGACTTCACACTCGGCTTACAGGTAAAGGAAGGCTGGAAAACCAGCAGTGCTCGGAACTTAAGGACTATGATTTGAAAACCATTGGTCAAGTAGAAGAACACATACCGGCATACTCTTCTACCCTCTTCATCTCTGAAAGACAGAAGCAATAGAACCGAGTTACTGTCATTACATTAGGAGTGATGTTACTGTCACTACAATAAGAATAATGTAAACTATTACTACACTATGAATTGTGTTATTGTCACTACACAAAGAATAGTATTACTGTCACTACACCATGAATGGTGTTACTGTCACTACAATAAAAATAATGTTATTGTTACTACACTATGAATAGTGTTACTGTCACTACACTAGGAATGGTGCTACTGTCACAACAATAAGAATAATGTTACTATTACTACACTATGAATGGTGTTACTGTCACTACAGTACATATCTACAGATGGTATCACTGAGACGTACTTGGTTGGTATCTCACAAGGCTGCGGCTTGCTGGACTAGAAAAATCTGTGGAAAGAAAGGGGATCTTGCTCAGAGTGATTCAGTACCATTTAACAGCAGCTTATATAATTGTTAAGGTTGGAGAATAAAGGATGTGTATAACTGTTCAGAGGTGGCTGGAAGCTACAGTAAGCTGTGTTTTTACTCACATACAAGCACCTGAATTCTGCTGTGATTGCCAGGCTGCCATATGAAGACTACGTGTTTCTGTGTGTGTGTGGGGGGGTTGGAGGTGGGGGGCTTGCATAGATCACATTCAGGGACCAAACTGTGGTAAAACCTGAAACTTCCTTACTTTTGGGGACATTTTGCAGGTCCCCATTTGGATAACCTCCATTTTATAAAATCTGTGACTGCCAAAAAATACCAAATACCAAAAAATTAAAAATTCAGAATTTTTGTATTTTGTTTGGTTACTTAAGATTAAGGTTAGGACTGGTAGGGCTTCAGTTTGTCATTGTTGGGATTAGGATTTTGCCCATAGAAATGAATATATTTTGAATGGGTAGGTACAGTATGTATCTTCATATATTAGTGCGTGAGCATGTAACATGCAGGCTGTGTGCTGGGTATGTTTGGAATTTCAGCAATGTTCAGGTACAAAGGAGTGAAGGCGTGTGGATCCAGCATCGGTGAAGATTCTACCAAAGGCTTCACTGGGTGACAGGATTTCAGGGATTCTTACTATACATAGTGCTCAGTGTTACCCTGCGGGTGAAGTGGTGCCCTGCTCAGATCTAACCCTGATCTGTGCCACGACCTTCCTGGGTGCTTATTTATAAGGTACAAAAGGATAGATGGATATTAAGGATCACCCACTGAAACTTATTTTTGGGTGATATTTCCTTATATTTCCTTAATACTTATTTTTCTATTCTTTGTTTATTGTATAGTTATGTCACACTTATTCCTCCTGTACTGGCTGCTGTAACAATGCCAATTTCCTAATAGTGGGATTAATAAAGATTTATCTCATCTCATCTCTTGGTTCATTGTTTGGAAATAAGCCCCTTTTACCTGTTTCTGCTACCTCACTCGTGTTCAGCAGCTTCGTCATCTCTCGCTGGAAGCACTCCACCAGCTGGGACACCTGCTGCACCGCGGCCGCTGACTGCAGGTCAGGGGACACCGTGACAGGGCCCCATTCTTTGGTCTGCACTGGTGTGCACAGGGCTGGGAAAGTCTGCAGTCAGTGGCGAAAGTGGGTTTGTTTTTAGTTTTTGTCTTTGCTTTAAAGAGAAGCTCCTTTCAATAGTGGTGGGCAAATTAAGCTTTCATGAACCATTTGCTGTATTTTTGACCCCACTGGATGGTGTGCTTGGTTTGTTTGGGGCATGTTTTGAGCCCTTATATGAACAGAGAGCACCATCTAGTGGAGTCAGAAAACACAGCAAATGGTTCATGAAGTTTCATTTGGCCATCACTAGCTTTCAGTAAAGGTATGCAACTCACTCCGATATATGGGTGACCAACTAGTAACCAGCACATTAATGCTACTTGTTCCCATAATTTCAGATATTTTGCCTCAAGTACAGCTCTTGATCCCTGACCTTAAGGAAGTGGACTTCGTCTTCAGACTGTGAGAGCTCCCTGATGCTCATACTCCTCTTCTTCAGCTCGGCAATTTCCAGCTCCAGGTCTTGGATGAGGCTTCCTGCATGCCGCTCAGCTGCGAGACGTTCCATCTCGACGTTCTCAAGCAGCGATGCCTGTGCTCTCTCTAAGGAGCTGATCAGGGCTGTGAACATATGCGTGCTGCCCGCTGTTTCCTGCTCTGCCGTTGCCTGGAAGAGACAGAAATGCTGCGGTGGCTACAGAGACCGAGAGTGGTCATGGTGTTTGGATCCAAATCACAACTGATTTAACCAGAAACCTGCACCCTGTAAATGGTGACCAATACAATACTGCAAGTGCACTGGGGTCTTCTGACGACAAAGCTCTCACTTTACTGTCATTGGTATTGCTTCTTGCTTCCGGATGGGGAGGGTGGGCTTGGCTCAGTAACAATCAGCTGACAGTAGGGGGGCTCACCTGGAGGCTATCCAGAGACATCCTGAAGTTCTCCACCTTCTTTAGCCTGCTCTGGATCATGTCCCTTAATTCCACGTCCAGGATGCCAAGCTGAGACTACAGGCAGGTAACAAAATGATCAGGAAAGCATAGATGATGATGATGATTGTTATTATTATTATTATTATTACTAGAGTGACACTTCCTGCTTGTATGAGCGTGCAGCCCGCATCACAACCCTTGCAGACTCACCTTCTTGATGAGACACTCCCTCTTAGCTGGCACCACGCTGTGAGTCCTGTGCTCGTTCTCCAAACAAACTGTGCAGATACACACCTGGTCAGTGCGGCAGAAGATATCCAAGCGCTGGTTGTGCCTATAGCAAATGGAAACCTCTGTGCTGACAGCTGGGCTGCCCAAAGACGATCTCCTGGAGACAGGTGGTGGCACTTTGGCTTGGGTGTCTCCAGCTGTTTGCGAAATCTTTTGAAAGCGAGCCTTCATTTCAGCAAGAAGGTCACTAGACAGCTCGGCCTGCATGGGGGGTCGCCTCTCGGGGACACCCCCCCGGTGCCCTGTGACCATGCCCATGTCAGGCCCAAGCATGCACTTGAACTGCTCAGTGATCTCCCTCAGGGTGCTGTTGACGTGAAGCTCAGGTCTTTGCCCGAAGGTCTCCTTGCATATAGGGCACTGGTAGCTCCTGTCTTTATCCCAGTATTTGCTGATGCAGGCCATGCAGAAGCTATGACCACAGGGGGTGGAGACAGGGGTGGTGAAGACGTCCAGGCAGATGGAGCACAGGAACTGCTCCTCTGACAAGAAGGAGGATATGCTGGCTGGGATACAGGAGACACCAGTATCATTACCAGGCTAACTGCGATGAACGTTAGTGAGCCAGTGTCACTACCAGGGTAACAACAAAGAACGTGAGTGAGCCAGTATCACTACCAGGCTAACGGCGATGAACGTGAGTGAGCCAGTATCACTACCAGGCTAACGGCGATGAAC